GAACTCGACCGAGATATCGTTAAGACTGAACTGTGTAGAAAACTTCATCGCGATCAGACTCTCCTTTCAAAAGTTATCGTGTAAATGGACGGCCGGACAGACATACTGACCGATTCTAGAGTGTACTCACTTTTTGAGTATACAATAAAAACTTAATATGTCCATTTACGTTAATATTAATATTATTATTCATTCCTCTTTCTGACACGATACCGATTAGACGTATATATCACGTCTTTTCACATTCTCAAGTGCAATTAAAGGTCAAACAAGTGCATTTTAAAATTCAAGAAAATATTAAAAAATATTAAGTTCTCAAATAAGAACCACAAGGAACTGTAATTAATTTCTAAGCAAATTCTTTATCAAATACTTGTCCAATCAACACTTCCAATATGCCTCCGAGAAGAGGCGGAGGTGCTCGTGGACGTAGAAAAATAGTACAAGAATCTTTTAGAACAACCACTCCAACAACTAATACAATACAAACACCATCAACTACACCAGAAATACAACAACAAACCAACAAAATAAAACTCAAATTCGAAGTAACACCACTAATAGTTGAAACAGATTCAATTACGAAGGTTAAATTAAACCATATAATAAAGAATTATCTAGCAGATGTTAAAATTTCTAATATACAAAACAATCGTCCTAATTCATTTATTTTATATCCGAATGATGTAAAATCGTTCAACAAAATTCCAAATGATCTATCTTTGATTATTCAAACTAACGAAAATCAACGTGCAGAGGTATATGTTCCTCGTTCTATACAAAGAATTATAGAAAAAAAACAAAGAAGCATATGTTAAAAAAATAGACCTTGAAATAAATGAAGAAGAAATAAAACAGGTTCTAAACGAACAAGGATACAAATATCACCAAGTCTTACGATTAACGAACAAAGAAAAAACACCACTAAAAACAGTTAAAATAACTTTCCTTGATGCACAAAACAGAGATCTGTTTGTTAAAATGGGTCTTCAAATAGATTCAATGTATTTCATAGCCGAATGTGCCACGCAAAACAATAAACCAAGTCAATGCTATAAGTGCTTCAAGTACGGTCATGTGGTAAAAATACTGTAGATCTAAAAATTAAGTATGTTCGAGATGCGGAGAAGAAAATCATAAATATGACTATTGTCCTAAATCAGAGCAACATCCTAGTTGTTGTAATTGCAAAGGCGATCATGTTGCTACCTCAACAGATTGTCCTAAATTTAAGGAGTATCAACAGAAAATACAAAGAACTATCAACCAATTCTCATCAACAATTCAACATCAACATAATACAACATCATCAATTTGTCCTAATTGGAATGATTTAGATGAATTTCCAATGCTTCAAACCTTAGACAAAGTCAATAAATTACCACTCATCGAAATAATTTCCGAAAAAATAATAGCTGCTGTTGAACAAGCTACAGAAAAAATCTTTCAAGTCTTAAATCGAAAGTTTGAAATGTTAACAAATCATCTTAGTAATAAATTTAACATTGAAGTTGAAGAGTTGTTAACAGAAAAAAATGATTATATACCAAAAAACCATGGTAATACCAAAACAATAACACAACTAAGAACTACACAAGAACAACCTCCAATAGATGCCAACAATGAAAAAGAATATTCATTAATAACACCTAACAATGAAAACAAAAAGAAATTCATCTCTCCAAATAGTCTAATGGATAAACTTCAACCTAATGCCTAAGTCTCTTCTTATATATAATTTTAAAAAAAATGTTAAAATCAATGCATTGCAACGTAACCTCAATTAAAAAACACAAGGATGAGATAATGGCGAAATTCAGCGATTGTGATATTATATCCATAAATGAAACAAATTTAAAACCTCAACAACTCTTCTCTCTTCCAGGTTATCATCTATACAGAAATGATAGGCAAAACAAACAAGGAGGTGGAGTTTTATTATCAGTACGAAATAATATTAAATACTTTGAGATCTTTAATCAAACAATCGAAGATAATGAAACGTTGGCAGTACAAATAGAAACATCTAATGGTTTTTTGCTTGTTGCATCCATCTATATTCCACCTAATGCTAAACTAAACCATGATGTTTTTCAACACCTTTACAATATAAATAACGATTGTTTAATATCAGGCGACTTGAATGCCGCTCTCTATACTATGGGATCTAAAAAAACTAATGCCAAAGGTTATCAGCTTCAGCAATTATTAACTGATGGATTTCTTCAATGTATTGACAATAAGCTCATGACTTATGCAAGAAACAATTATGAAGAAAAGATTGACTGGATTCTTGCCAGTCAACCAACGCTGTCATTTATTGACAATGTTGAAACACATCCATCTCTCGGCTTGAAAGAAGATCACCGACCACTTACTTTTCATTTGAACATGTCAGCTGAACTAAAACCTGGCTCACCTAGATTATCATACAATTATAAAACAGCAGATTGGAAATTATACAGAAACAAATTGAATGATCTCTTGAATAAAATTAATGTAAACCAAAAAGTTACAAATGCGCATCAAATCGAAATATATGTGAAAGAACTAACTGAAAGTATAGTTTCAGCTACGAAGACAGCAATACCACTTACAAATGGACAAATTAAAAATTTCTGTATATCAAAAATTACGAAAAATCTTATCGAAAGTAAACACCGAGCATTCAGACAATGGAAAAAAACGAACAAAGATGCTGATAAAAAAGAATATTACAATATGAAGCAACTCTTAAATAATTCACTCCGTAATGATCGTATCGAACGTCTTAATAGAACTATGGCGTCTCTTTCTGCAAACAAGATGAATTCCTCTAAAGTATGGGCAACAGTACGTAAATTCTATAATAAAAGAATGAAGCAATCCAATATGGGTACACTGACTTATCAAAACATCACAGCTAGCACTGATATGGATAAGGCAAATTTATTCGCATCGTATTTTGAAAATGAGATTTTTATAGAAAAACCAAATCAATTACCATTTCAAGATCAAGTTTCTGGACAGGTTGATTTAATCAAAAAAAGAATAAAATTGAAAAAAAATAAATCATCTCCAATCACAACAAAGGAAATAAAAGCAATACTCAAACAACTTCCTAATAGAGCACCTGGTCCAGATTCAATACATAACCGTTGCCTTAAAAATTACACACCAGCATTAGTTCAACACCTAGAGAAGATTTTTAATGCCATAATCAACTTAGGACATATCCCAGGTGAATGAAAAAAAGCGAACATCATCCTTCTGCTCAAACCAAAAAAAGATCAAAAATATCCATCCAGCTATCGTCCAATCAGTCTTTTAAGTTGTCTAGGTAAAATTTTAGAAAAAATTATCAAACAAAGACTACTAAAAGAACTTGAAGAAAGAAACATCTTACCAACACATCAAGCAGGATTTCGTTCCCACAGAAGTACAATATACAACACCATGAGGCTCGAGAGATTCGCATCCGAACAACTTCAGAAAAGACAACACTCGGCAGTGATCTTTTTTGATATTAAAGCAGCATTCGACTGTGTGTGGTCCGACGGTCTGATCTATAAACTCAATGATCTACGACTATCAGAATATATAATTCAGTACATTATTTCATTCCTCGAACAAAGGAAAGCTTCAATAGAAATAGAAAACACAATTTCAAGAATATTTACTTTGAAAAGTGGAACTCCACAAGGTTCACCACTATCACCCTTGCTTTATATAATCTACACTAGTGATTCAATGAATCATATAAATCAAGCTACGGAATACGGACTCTTTGCTGATGATACAGCATTGTGGTCCTCATCTAACACTATCACTAACCTCAATCATCGTCTGCAGACTTCTGTAGACGAATTCCATAAATGGTGCAACACGTGGAAATTATCAATTCAGCCCAGCAAGACAGAACTCCTTCACTTTAGCCCACATCCACGGAAAAAATATAAAAACAAAATTACAATACAAGTCGAGGAAACATCAATAAAGCCTGTTCCATCAGCAAAGTACCTTGGCGTCATATTTGACAATCCACTAAACTGGCAAAACCATCTACAACAACTAGAAACAAAAAGTGCGCCAAGAATAAGCCTTCTCAGATTTCTTGCAAAAATCAGTCCTAACTCAAATAATAAAATTATGAGTAATTTATATAAATCACTAGTTAGACCCATCATTTCCTACGGGTCCTCTATCCTCCTAAAGTCAAACCGAAAAATTTGGAAACGTATTCAGATATTACAAAACAAAGCGGTAAAGGCAGCACTTGGACTTCCAGTATACACATCTACCAACTACATACACACCAGCACCAATCTTCCAAAAATAAAGAACTATACAATTTCCCTACTTCATAAGGCAATCACGAGAGCAGAAAGCAATAACGACAATGTTTCAAAAGAAAATCTTACACTTATTCTAGCACAAGTCAACGTGAACTAACAATATTTATTTTTTTTCTCTTTCTTTTGCTTAGGGCATAAGACATAGGTCAGGAGCCCTAATAACTTTCTCTGTAGATTTATTTAAATTTCTAAATAAATCGTTGAATCCAAAAAATATTATTATTATTATTCATATTGAGATATATTTTCACATATTGAAATGAACGGATTAAAAATAAATTAAATATTGATTACCATTCCAATAAATAAATAATAATTAATTTATCTGTAGTAGTTCATTGACGACTCTCCATTTAACCAATATCATGTTTCAATCTGCACTTACTCATCGTTCATTTGTTTTCTAGCAGATAACAATTACTATTCATTATCGGTTCGAGATACCTCTTTCAGTTTGATAATTTCTTTCATAAAAAAAAAATTTTTTCAATACCGCATTAAGTTCAATGTTGAACATATCTCATACATAGAGCGTGAGGTAAAGAAATAATCAAATGAATTGAACATATTTATCCAAATGACCAACGTTATCATCTTCGTATTTGCGTTAAGATCATTAAATAATACAAGAAATTATAGTCAGATGTTCAAATTTTTGCTTTCATTTTAATGAATAATTGCTTTTTAATTTTCATAGTCAAATTGTAGAAGAAATTGATCTCTGCTTATTCGAAATATTGAAATTTGTCAACTTCAAAATAGAAAAACAAGCACATTCTTTACGTATTTCCGTATTTTTTTTCTAATTAGACAAATATATGTCTCTAGTTGATATAGAGGCTTAAGTAAAAATTGGTAATCTATTGATCTATTTGAGTTGAATCACTAACAATAAAAGGTCATGTCCAGTGCATTTATCACTGATTTCATAAATATGATTACTTTTTTATCATTGTTATTCTTTAAGAATGAACAGCTCCCTATAGAGGTTAGGCACGCACGGACTCATTTATGATTTTAAGTTTTGTGGATGTGGAGTGTGGGGGTGGGGGTGGGGGTGGGGGTGTAGGTGTGGGTGTCGATATTATTCAACTCTACACCCACACCCCAAACCCACACCCACCCGCACTCTCCAAGTCTGGCTCTACGGCGTGATATCTTTATACCACTAATAGACCATGTTGCCTTACGGCCTTTTAGGCTTATTCCTTTATAGCCTTACCCCGTTATAGCCTTAATTTCTTACAGCCTTATCCCCTTATTGCCTTACTGCTTTATAGTCTTACCCCCTTACGGGCCCTTTTATAGCCTTACCTCCTTATAGTCCTATGTCTTTATCATCTTGCCCTCTTATAGCCTTACCCACTTTACAGGC